CAGTCAAGGAAATGCACAACACAAAACTGATTCTTCTCCCAACAGCTTACTCCAAAGTGGAACAAACATGACATGACTGTCGACAAGGGAGAGGGCCGGCACCGAAGGATGGGGCACACCAAAGAGACCATCTTAGACCAACATACAGTAACTGGTTTGTTCCTCTTTGGAGTAAGCTGTTGGGGGAAGAATCAGTTTTGTGTTGTTTCCTTGGCTGATGAAGCCTTGTGGATGGAAGGTGAAACGTTTCAGCACAAAAAACAACAAAAAAAGAACTGTCCAGATGATCTGGCTGAAAATTGTTGGATTGTATACCTGGATTATTGAGCATGGACTTTGTTAATAAAATAAAATATTTCAAAATATATGTATTTTTGTTGTTGTTGTGTAATATAAATATTTTATAGTTAATGATGAGTAAACTTATTTTGTTCATCGATGTTGTCTGATTGGTGACGTATTTCTGCCCTGGTGCGCAAAAATGTTTGCCCATAGACTCTCATTAAAAGTTGTACATGCGCAGTTGGCTCCTCTTCAATACAAGAGATAGGACCATTCTGGGCGCACCTCTCCTGCGCCCAGAGCTGGATGCAGCTTGAATTGCATATCACCACGCTCCTGCAGCATGAGGGTGGGACTCCCGCCATGGGGCTGACGTCACAGCCGTCTGTCATAAAGTTCGCCTGATTGACAGCTCAGCTGTGGGAGTTGGAGACGATCGGACAGAGATGCAAAATGGAGAAAGAGAAATTAAATAATTCAGTGAAGTCACTTAAAACAATACATTTTGAGAGAAAAATATATCAGGAGAAGCTAGAGGTGAAAGAGTTCTGACCTGATCAGCCGAACATCAAAATTAATCAGCAGTCCAAAGACAGAGGGACACAGCACACTCTGTATTTTTCCAGGGCCTGGTTTAGCAACAAGGTATTCTGCTTTACCTGCCCCCTTTTTCAAATCAGGATCTGACCCAGCATGGACTAAGACAGTTATGACTGGTTTAAAGCATTTTTTTTTATTTAGAAAAGGTCATCCACAGATCCACCAGAAATTTGCTTCTCTCAAGGATAGAAGGGCAAAAAGTATGTGCAAAAAGTAGAACACTACATGACATTATAATGTTGCTTTTGTTGTTTTCATTCATGTAAATACACTAGTGTGATACCTTAGTATATGTTTTGGTATATGTCTATTGTGGAGTTATAGCCTCCCCAGAGAAAACTCCTCCAGCCGCCACTGCAGATGAATCTGGAAGTCCGGTTCTGGTCCGGTTCACAGTCGGTTCCATGCGGCTCTCTGCATACACTGGGCACCGAAGTCACTATGAATAAGGACCAAACTTTTTCAGATTGGATCAAAACTTTCCCTCCATTTCAGCAGGAGGCAACGGGGTTTCTAGGTAGGGCACTGTTGGCTTCTGGGAAATGTAGTCATTTTGAATGGCGATACAGTATACGCTTTTTGGGAGAAAACTACCAAATGGCGGCGCCTGTCCAAAGTATATTTTTTGTTAACGTTTTACTGTAAAGTATCTCGTACTGTCCCAATCACATGAGTAATATTAAAGTTGATAACCATGTGTTGGGTACAATTTTTGTGTTTGTATATAATCTTATAACCCTGAAAATCTGCGAAAGAGCAAGTCTGCGTAAGTCTAACCACAAAGTATTGAGGGACTACTGTAATGCTAATAAGTTTGGAAAGGTTTTTTCTCCTCAAACAAGTTTTTTATTATTGTACAATAAGTACCAAAATGCTGACATATCTTCTGTTTTACAGCTTCTACTGTTGAAAAACATGTTTCTGTCATTAACAAACACATTAAAAATGGTAAATAAGTTGAAAGGAGTGTCGTGCTTTCCCAGTAATTTAAAATGAATTCCCACGTCTTTGGTCCTTTGTTTGGTTCCATGTCAAAACAACATTTCCTCATGTCCTCGTTAATTGTGCAGCTCTTGATGCTATATAAATATGTTGTGTGTGTAGTGTGTGGCTCTTCTGATATGTAATTTTTCAATTTATCCTCCATTCTATTGACAGTATTTTGTTAGGAAACAATGATTTGTGCAATGCAATGTGAAGATTTGACAGTTGGCAAATTTTAGTCAACATTCAATAGCAGTAATTAAATACAGAAACATTCCTCCAGAGTGGGCAATTAATGGTTGTGACGCCCCTTAGAGAACTACAGGTTTTTGTGTGATTTGGTAAATGTTTGCATGTTCCTCTCCTCCGTCTGTCAGGAGCAGTATGTGTTCATCCACGATGCCATCCTGGAGGCTTGCCTGTGTGGAGAAACCGCCATCCCTGTTTCTGAGTTTGCTCTCAGCTATAAGGAGATGTTGAAGGTCGACTCTCAGAGCAACTCATCACAGCTCAGAGAGGAGTTTCAGGTAACACACATATATCTGAGGAGAGAGAGTTATTGTCTTTGTAAAAAAAAAAAAAAAATCTAAGGAGACAGCTGCGACCCTAGCAACTCTTTCAAATTTAAGGCCTGATCCACGTGAGAATGCCATTTTGTAGATGCAAAAGTTCTTCACTGCTTCAACTGTTTCATTCACACAGAATTTTTTTTTGAGGAGCCTCAAAACTGTATTATTTGGTTCCATCTAGAAAAAAAATGTAAATCCTCTCTTCCATTTTCATTGAAAACATGAGTCTTTATGAGAGTTTCATGAGAGTTAGTAGGAGAGATCATATCTCTCCAGTTTTAGTTTCTCTCCATTGGCTCCCTGTCAAATCCAGAATAGAATTCAAAATCTTACTTCTAACCTACAAAGCTCTCAACAACCTAGCTCCATCTTATATTACAGATCTTACTGTGCCATATTTTCCTAACAGAGCACTTCGCTCTCAAACTGCGGGTTTACTTGCAGTTCCTAGAGTTTCAAAAATCAGAATGGGAGGCAGATCTTTCAGGCTCCTCTCTTGTGGAACCAACTTCCAGTTTCTGTCCGTGAGGCTGACACATTGTCCAGTTTTAAGACTGGGCTTAAGACTTTCCTTTTTCTTAAATCCTATAGTTAGGGTTGGCTTATACTAGAGGAATAATTGACCTCATTTGCTTAAATGAATTTTTTTAATTTAATAGTTTTCATTTGATACTATTTCTATCTTAACGTGATTCTTGACCTGCCATTGTGTATCTGTTCCTGCTTCCTGTCATTTACACAAACATATGGTTCATGGGCAGAGATAAGAAGGTGTCCCGGGAGATGGTTTTGGCTTGTTGTTCTCAGGGCAGAGGGGAAGAATGTTCTTAGCTATAATAATACAAACATCCATGACCTTTGACTAAAAATTCCCTGACAGCACATGCAAACAGAGCACACCCGTCCAAAGCAATCAATCATCATGTACAACAATCAAATGTTTTAGGCCAACTTGCTACTCACAGAAACAGTCTGAGGACTACCAAGGCCACAGTGGTTCAGAAAATGTTTGTAAGCTCAGTCATCATGTTAAAATCCTACTTCTGAGATTCCAACAGGAAGTTGGCTTGAAACACGGCAGTGAAGGCTACTTATAGGACAGATCTGGTTGGCAGGACTGAGGAGGTCCTTTGGATGGGGGACAAAACGTTTCTCACTTAAAGAAACTGCTCCAGATGACATGTTTAACCTTTTTTTGTTGTTATCTACCTGATGATTGAGCTTACAACTGCAATATACCTCAACAAAACATTTGAAAAATGTGGGAGGTAGTTTTACAAGATGAACACAGCAGCATGCACACAGCTGTTTTCTTTTTGTTGTTGTTTGTTTGTTTTTGTTTACCCATATGTTTTTGTTTTGCAATCTATCTACTTCGGCACGTTGAACTATTTTAGCTAATCATAAGTCAAAACATCCAGCTCATTCAGGAGGGGGGGTTCTATGACTTTGGGTTTTTGTACTGCTTCTACTTTTCAAAATATATAACTTTATTTAAAACCATTTTCCATATAAAAATACACTTTGATCTTTTCATTTCCTTCAATAACTTTGTCTTTTGTTGAAAGTGACTTCAAGAAACATGCTATGTTTTTGTCATCTTATGCTGCTTTTAGTTTTAAGCTGCCATTCTGATATTATTAGCTACCACTATGGCACTTTTAGATTTAGCTACAGTTTAGCTGCTTTTAGCTTTTGATAGGTTTACCTTTTAGCCAGGACTTTGTTACTTTTAACTAGCTGTTTTACTTTTAGATAGCCTTATTTATTATTATAATTATTTAGATATATATATCTAATGCATCTAATATAATATCTAATATATATCTAATATAATATATATATATATTAGCTATATAATTATATAGATAGCCTATTATACATTTTAAGATAGTGTTTTCTTCATTTTCGCTTTTAGCAACAATTAGGCTTGTTTTAACTTAAATAACTGTTTCAGCTTTTGTCAATCTAATTCAAGGTCATTAAGCTCTTAACATTTACAATGTAATTTCTATCGTTGTCTTCTAAATTACTTTCATAATAAGTTTATTCTCTGGGTATGAAATTGAAAAAAAAAAACAGTATATATATATATATATATATAATTAAATATGTTTAGTGTTTTATAAATGATTTCCTGTTGGTAAATAATGTTGGTCGGGCTTGTCTAGTTAGAACACTCAGAATCATTCATAAAGTTCTCATTTAATTTTTTCATCTGGCTTTGATCTTTGCAGCAAATTTTATTTCGTGTCTGTCACATTATTTCTGCATCTAAACTGGGAGCTCATTGTCAAAAAACATGTCAACCTTTGGAATCATCTTCTCTCTTCCTCCTTTCGGCTCCTGCTCTTCTCCTTCTTCATCCTCAGACCCTGAACTCTGTTACTCCTCACCTGGATGTGGAGGAGTGCAGCATCTCCTTGATGCCCAGGAACCGTGAGAAGAACCGCAGCATGGACGTTCTTCCACCTGACCGTTCCCTGGCTTTTCTCATCACCACTGAGGGAGAAAGCAGCAACTACGTGAACGCAGCGCTGGCTGACAGCTTCCTCCGACCTGCCGCCTTTGTGGTGACGCCGCACCCACTGCCCGGCACCACCACCGACTTCTGGAGGCTAGTGTATGACTACGGCTGCACATCTGTGGTGATGCTCAACCAGCTCAACCAGTCCAACTCTGCATGGGTAAGAGAATGAAGAAAGAGGAGAATAATTATTGCAAATTTAGCAAGTTATGTAGCCTTTTATTTTATTTTTTAACTCTGTTAATAACTATTGGTCAGCCTTGTAGACAAATATTTCAGAAACCATCCATCCATCCATTTTCTTTACCCGCTTTTTCCATTTAGGGTCACGGGGGTCGCTGGTGACCATGTCCAGCAATCACTGTGCGAGGGGCGGGGTACACCCTGGACGGGTCCCAAGTCCATCACAGGGCCACATAGAGACAAACGAGACAAACAACCATTCACTCTCTCACTCACACCTAGGGACAGTTTAGAGTTACTAATCAATCTAACATGCATGTTTTTGGTCTGTGGGAGGAAACTGGAGCACCCGGAGAAAACCCACGCACGCACGGAGAGAACATGCAAACTCCACCCAGAAAGGCCCCTGGACCGGGGTTTGAACCAAGGACCTGCTCGCTGAGAGGCAACAGCTCTACCAGTTGTGCCACTGTGCTGCCCCATTTCAGAAACCAATGGACTAATTTTTTATAAAGCATTGAAAACTGATTACATATGAGAGTCTGCCCAGTTTTAGAAGGCCTCCTCAGCCAACTAACTTTAGAAATAAATTATAAATATAACTCAGCTGTTGAGCTAAAGGCTGTTTCAGAGCATAATCCACAACACTTGCTCTCAGGATCTTGTGCAAATTGTGGCTTCACACTGGTCATCCCTATGAGTCTGTTAAGAAAATATCACATGAAACTCTTGCCAGAATTCAATTCAACTCTCAGAAAATAATAAAACATCGATATGGAGTCAATCCAATTCAGTATGACCTTAACAAAAAATGTGCAATAGGCAACACAAAAATAACTCTCAACTCCATCAGTTTTAAATATATTAAGTAAAAGCTTTATGTTTAGTTGGTGATAGTCATCCTAATGATGTTCTTTGAGTGGCTAAATATCTCACACATCTCACAGTATGAGATTGCACAAAATGTCCTTCAAAATGATTTGAGTAAAATGGCTATGATTCATGTTCATCATCATATAATTTAAGTATAAAAGACATGGAAGGCAATGAGCGACATGCATTCCCTCAAAAAATAACGATGTCTTCAGTATAATAAGCTTTATCTTCTGCCACCAGTCCAGCTTTTCCTCCTGGAAATGTGCTTATTATTTAAAGTGCATACAGGTAGAGAACTGAGCGTGTCTCAGCCAATTTCCTACCAATTCCACACATTGCAAGGCAAGCAGTGAGTAAAAGACCAGAGCAAAGGTACTGACATGAAAAGCAACTGGAGCCAGTAAGATGTCAGGATCCCTTTCAACTTCAGCCCGTTCTGTAGCAGACTCATCTGCAGAGAGCAATCCCTTATCCCTGAGAATTCACCCGACAGCCATTCAGTCCGTGCAGCTAGAGACAAGGAGCTATTTTACTGCTGCGCAAACAAAACCTTACTTTTACAGAAGCATTTTTTTTCTCATACAAGGAAACTCTTTAAAGACAGAAAATTAAAGAAAAAATCAAATAATCTTTTTTTTATTTTTTTTTATCAAGCTGATTGTCACATCTACAGACAGACCCCAAGCTCAGGATGAAAGATTCCAAGTCAGTCTAAACTTTTATAAATTAGGACAGTCCAAGTTTACCATTTATAACCCAGTTCAGTAACATCAGAGTTCATTTTACATCCAGTTCTTTCATTCAACTTTTATTTATATAGGTTAATCCCATTGAGCCTCGGGGACTCATTTACAAGAGAGACCTGGTTTTAACAAAGAGTGAAGACAACAATGGACAACAACAACGACAACAATAGACAGTTATAAAGGATGCGTACAAATTGAGAGTAACGAGTGACAATAAAATGGTATTTAAAAGAAAATGTAACAAAAAAACAGCTAGGTTGTAAGGCAAATTAGTAAAAACAGGAACATGTCTGTTGGTTTTTGCCAATAACTTAACAGATGTTTGAAGCCACTTAGAGAGGTCAAGGTCGAGAGCTTCAGATCTTTTTGCAAGATATTCCAGGAAACAGGAGCGGAGCAGGAGAAGACCCTTTTGCCAAGTTCAGTCCTCACTGAGGGAACACTGCAGGTAATAATGTCCTGAGAGCGCACGCTGTAGCTGCACTCACGCAGAGACATGAAGGAGGAGATGTATGAAGGCAGCAGACCAAGAAGTGATTTAAAGATGAAAATGTACCAGTGAGAGAGTCTGTGTGAAGTTAATGATGTCCAGTTAACCAGTGAAAACAGGGTGCAGTGGTGGGTACGATAGTTACAACCAGTTATGAAACTTAACGCACCATGATAGACAGTGTCCAACATCTGCAGGGTTCTTGTAGGTGCATTCATGTAAATAATATCACTGTAGGCAGTGGAGGGAAGGAAAGTCACAGTCACGAGGTGTTTCTGTGACTTCTTTGACAGTTAAACAACAGTCCAACTAAATCCAATTGGAATTTAGTTTAATTCACTTTAAAGGTCAAATTTAAATTGAGGTCAATCAGAACAGATTTATCTCTTTACATCAGCTGACCCTTAGAGTTCCCACAGGTGGATTTATTTACCTATGCGTGTGACGTATGAAAGAGATAATTTGGGCTTCTATGCAAAGAGGGTGAATTCATATCATCTTTCAGCTTATGCAACGAAACAGAATCCCAAGAGCCGTGAAGATTTTTTGCAAACTGTTGTATATTAAACCTTAGAATTTCTAAGGTGTTAACTCATTATTATATCCATCAATTATTATATTTACCAGCTTCTCCTTTGCAGTTTGCAGGGGTGCCTATACCCAGAAGTCAATGTGCAAGATACGGGGGACACCCTCTGCAGGTTGCAAGTCCATCACAGAGCCACATAGAGACAAACAAGATAAAGTCATTCATTATTTCACTCACACCAAGGGACAATTTAGGGTTATCAATAAACCTAACATCCATGTTTTTGGCCCGTGGGAAGCAACCGGAATACCCAGAGTAAAACCATGCATGCACAGGAAGAACTTGCAAACTCCACCTAGAAAGATTTGCAGGCAAACTGGCAACTTTCTAGCTGAGTGGCCACAGATCTCCTAACTACACCATGGTGTCACCCCATTATTTACATCCACTCGCCAATCACTTTATTAGGTACACTTTGCTAGTACAAGGTAAAACTTCTTTTTTTTTTCAGAACACTAATATTTTTTGTGGCACAACTTTAATATGTAGGAAACATCCCTCAGCCATTTTGGTCAATACTGACACATCCCATCCATCCATTATCTTTACCCGCTTCTTCCTTTCCAGGTCATGGGGGTCACTAGTGCCCATGTCCAGCAGTTACTGTGCAAGAAGCAGGGTATGTCCTGGACAGGTCTACAGTCCATCACATGGACACATACAAACAACCATTCATACTCTCACTCACACCTAAGAACAATCTAGAGTTACCAATTAATCTGTCTTGGTCTGTGAGAGAAAAAAAAAAGCACCTGGAGAAAACCCAGACATGCATGGAGAGAACATACAAACACAATCCAGAAAGGTCTGGTCTGGAAGGCAAAGTTCCAGGTCAGAATTTAATCTGGAAACTATCTCACAGAGGGGCAGCAGCTCTACCAACCATTGTGCTGCTCATGATAGCTTCCCACAACGTGAAAATAACCATGTGAGATCTGGTAACTGTGGATACCATTGGAGTGCAATGAATCGAGACTCAGGAGACCACGCAATGTTTGTCTACGCTCTTATTATCCAATTTTTGTGAGTCTGTGTGAATTTTAGCCTCGGTCCTTAGCTGACAGGAGTGGCACCTGGTGTGTTCATCTGATGCCGTAGCCCACGGATGTGTTACATGTTTAGAGATGGTAGTCAAGAGACTGTGGTTACTAGGAGTGATTATTTGAACAGCTGTTGCCTTTCTATCATCTCTAATCAGTTTGCCCATTCTCTTCTGCTCTCTGACACAAACCAGACATTTATATCCACACAACTCCACTGATTTGGACATTTTTATTTTCAGATTGTAAACCCTAGAGTTGTGTGGGCAAATTTCATAGGATCAGCAATTTTCAAAATATTTTCAAGTTCAAGTAGGTTTATTGTCATTTCACCACATGTAGTACATGAGGTGGAATGAATTATGTACACAGGGTCCCATTTACACCAAACAATAGCAAAAATATATAAAGTGTAAAAGGAAAACAGTGCATAAAGATCTAAGATATACACTAAACAAACACCAGACGGTACGTTAAAATATCTACGATATATGCTAAACACTAATAATGCAAAACAATATGGCGTAACAACAGCAGCATATTTTTTTTCATTTACCCTTTATTTATCCAGGT